CATTTTCATCCTTGTATCTCGGTGACTCTGGGACTCAAAATGTTTCCATTAAGATGACTGGAATTAAACTTAGAAAATGTTTTGGTTCGACAAATCTCATTTTGCACAGAGTTATCCTTTTTCTTCTTTCAAGAAACGGTTATACCTATGTATTTTTTATGATCGATGCCCAAAACAATTGAAGAATACTCTTCCGTTCATTTTTACTTGGCACATTTTGATTTTTCACGCCCCTTAAGAAATAATAAATGAAATGCATAATTTACCATGATACCCGTATTAATTGATGCATATTTTATTGGATTTGAAAAAATAATTTGAAATGAGTAATAAATATTGTGAGTATAACAGGGAAAAAAAATATCTTCTCTTGATATGTGTAGAGTGACAAGTAAAAATAAAAATATATTTTTGGTATACATGTCAAGTAAAAGTGAACGGAGGGAGTATTGGGCGAAAGAATGAAAGTTTTGTATTAGGTACCTTTTACACGATTATTGAATTTCCCTTACTCTCATGCAAATTATTTATGACTTTGCTGGAAATTGTGTTATTAGAATCTCTTTATGTTGGAAAGGTGATTCATTCTCGTATGAATACTCCCCATTCACTTTTACTTGTCAACTATACTAAAAATATATTTTTATTTTTATTTGTCCATTTTAACAAATTAAGAGAAAGACAATTCTTTTTTTCTTGTTTTACCCTTATCATTAGTTACTCATTTCCAAAAGTATTTCCCAAGACTTTCTAAAATGCTATCATTATTAGGGGATATATAGTAAAATACATATTATAATTATTATTTTTAAATGGCGTGAAAGTCTAAAGTAGACAAGTAAAAGTTAACGAAGATAGTAGATTTGAATAATTAAATGATTTAATATTTATGGATCCAGAATATTACATTATGGAGGGTTCTTCTGGACACTCATGTCTATATTAGAATTACTCAATAATGAGTGTCTAATCCCAAGCCTGTATAACGTTTTTTTTTTATATGTCATAGGAACTAGAACTTTTTTCCCAGCTTGAACACTATAGTTGTATTAACCTATTTTGTGCTTATATAATGAGTATGGGTATCAATGGATATTGTATACGGTCAAAATTAATTAGTCCTTCGTACGAACTGGTCGAAATGGTAATGCATTAGATCGAAGATTAGGTTGAGGTGCGAAGTCATGTCATCAAGTTTCGAGCCCTAGGGACCGATCAATGTCGAGCTCGATATCATTATCGAGCTCGAATCCCAATTGAACTATAATGAAGTTATCGAGCTTACGAGGCAGAGACCGACCAACACTGTCCCCAAATCAATACAAGGCTCCGAATCAGAATCGAGCTCGAGTCAAGATCGAGAGCTCGAGTCGGTATTTGCTCGAGTCAATATCTAGCTCATAGACAAGAGCCGTTGCAACCGCACTAGGGAAGAGAATCCTGACAGGAATTATGGAAAAGTCGATTTATCATGGGTCTCCCACTATGTATTTTTAATTGTATCTAAAGTAGGATCCCTCCACTATAAAGGGGGTGGTTATTATTTCTGTAGAGACCATGTGGCTACATATATGGTAATTGAGATATCATACACTCTTATATTGAAGAATTATCCTTTTCTAGTTTGATAGATTGATTTATCTTGCTTAATCCATAAATCATCTTCTTTTCAACTTTGCTTATTTTTCATTCTTTGCAATCAATATTCGATATTTTCATTTTACTCTTACGATTTGTATCAAGTTATACCACATACCTTGTGTCTGGAGATGTTGTGGTTATTTATAACTTTAAAAGTTAGAATATATGATAAAGAAAAGGCACGCCAAATTTACCCGATTTAATGCTTGTCGGGCTCCATTGAATAGACCAGTGGCACTCGACGACGATTCCTTCCTTGATACCGGAAGGTCATCGAGCCCGGTGACGTCTTCCAAAGCAACGGACTCAACCCCATCCAAGAAGTCGTGGATATCGGTCACCCCCTGAGGACTCAACATTCCTGCCTTACGTTTAGAAGTTAGGTATGATTTAGTAATGTACACAAATAACTATACCCTTCTATATGAAAGTAGGGTAAATTATACAAATTCGGTCATACACCCAAGCCCGAAATCACGATACGAAGCTATCGGAGCCATCAAAACACAGTTTCGGGGTCGTTTTCTCAAAAGTCAAAGTTTTGTCAATATCTCTAATTTAAACTTCTAAGTCAAGAATCAAAGGGTTCAAATTAACCCAAAAGCTTCCCGGAACGAAACTAATCAACCTCGCGAGTCATAAAGTCATAAACACATATGTGTGAAGCATAAAAAGGGTAACTGGGCGCAATTAGACAAAACGATCTATTGGGTCATTACAGAAACTCATCCCAGGTGATCCTAACATGAAATTTTGTCATCCCAAGACTTGTGAGCTACTTATTCCCTCTTATCCATCTGGTAGACCTCTAACCTAAGCACCCGTTCTAAAGAAGCCTCCTATGAATCTAAATTTGTTCCCTTCATCTCTCAAACACTGCCTCGTATGTTCGATAATAATGCAGAAATGCCCCAAGTCTCTTTCACAAACCAACACAAATCTCAAATCTCCAGTAACACACAAATACAAAATTCCTTAGATACCACACATTGAATCTTGAATCCTTAGAGCCTTCTCAAGAGTCATGCACTCTGTCCTGGTCTTGAATACATAACCAACTTTATTTGTGTGGTATGATGGCGATTGGAAATACATTAACCGTTCAATAAATTTCGACATACTTTTGATCATGTTCAACTGGCTTATGTTACACATGTAATTATTGAAAGAATCCTAAAAGATAAATCTTATCGCCATTTATCATTTATCCAATACCCGTATATAATGTGTATTGCAACCAAATATATAGGCATTATTGGTTTGGTTGTAAAATTGTTTAATTTAAAACATAATAATAATTTCTTTTACTTAAATCAACTCAATCATCGAAAATCAGTAAGAAAAACCAGAAATATACTTTTTCAGAATCTCGTGCTAAAAAGCCAAAGTCAACACAATATAACTAGGAGCACAAAACATATAATAATAAAGTCAACTAGTGCATCACGGAAGAAGACAAGAATTTACATATTAAATGAAACAAAATCACCCAAGGCAAGAACATGAATAAAGAAATATCAACATGGTACTCCCGAGGTACCGCCTCGTAGTCCCAAACCATAAATAAATTCACAATATCTCATTTACTTATATCACTGCAGGATCCTTCACATTAAATTTTAAAGAAATTATTTTTTCCGAAATAGCATCCTGCGTTTTAGCCACCCTTATCACACCGCATGGCTTCTAGTAGTTCTCCTACTAGCCACGTGTTTCAAGCCACCCTTATCTCACCGCATGCGTTTCAACACCCTGGCCTTATATCACCGCATGACTTCTAGTAGTTCCCCTACTAGCCACGCGTTTCAAGCCACCCTTATCTCACCGCATGCGTGTCAATATCACAATATTTCACAATTCGCACCTCAAGTACCCAAATATCACAACATAATATAACTTGCACCTCAAGTGCCCAAATATTACAGCATTTCACATATTGCACATCAAGTGCTCAAATCTTACAGCATATCACAGATTGCACATCAAGTGCTCAAATCTTACAACTTATCACAGATTGCACATCAAGTGCTCAAATCTTACAACTTGCCACAGAAATCAACAATACATTATTTTCTACAATAAGGAGTCCATGGTTCGACCATAATGTGCACAAAAATCTTAACAAAATATCCGGAAGTGAACAACTCAACAAGATAATATTTCACATAAAAATCAAGGTGGCAATCACACCAAATCATCATGTAAAAATAATTTCAACAAACAAGAATCTAGGCATGACAAATAGAGGATTTAATAATTGCTAATAATTTCCAATTTAATACATAAGGGCGTCTAAGTATTTTTTTAATCCATGAAATTTACACATATAAACCAAGTACGTACTCGTCACCTCGCGTACATGGTTTTCAATTACACAATTTGGCACATAAGACTCAATACCTAAGGGGTAATTTTCTCCACTCGGGGTTAAGCAAGACACTTACCTTTTTGAAGTTAGGCCGATATTCCAAGATAGCCTTCTTACTTGAATTGACCTCCGGACAGCTCAAATCTATCCAAATTAATTGTATAACTTCATTAAAATTCATCGGAAATAATTCCGGATAATAATACGTCGACTTAAAATTTTATTCCAAAAAGTCAAAAAAAGTCAACGCGGGACCCACCCCTCGAAAACGGCAAAATTTTTATGAAATCCAAACACCCATTCCGATATGAGTTCAACCATACCAATTTTATCGAATTCCAATAATAACTCGACTTCCAAATCTTAAATTTTCGTTTTTGAAGATTTTACAAAAATCTTGATTTTTCCTCCATTAAATCCAAATTAAATGATGGATTCAAAGACATAATCTTGGAAATTAATCAAAACTGGATAAGAATCACTTACCCCAAACACCCACGCAAGAATATCTCCAAAAATCGCCTTCTACCGAGCTCCAAATTTGATTTTTGAGTTATGAACTCAAACCCCCGTTTTTGGGACTTTTAATTCTGCCCAGGAGTGCCTTCATCGCGTTCGCGACCACAGCTTCGCGTTTGCGAAGCACAAAAAATGTGCTGCCCAGATTCCTTGTTCGCGTTCGCGATACCTTCCGACCTCTGTCCTTCGCGTTCGCGAGACACGAGTCGCGTTCGCGAAGGCTTAACGCCAGGCAGGCCCCAACTCCCCTTCCTCTTCGCGTTCGCGTCTGCCCACTCGCGTTCGCGTAGGCTTTCCTCATCTCCTTCTTCGCGTTCACGGCTTCTTCATCGCGTTCGCGATGGGCAAATCCCAGCTGTCCAAAATCCTTCTTCGCGAACGCGTGAGACCCTTCGCGTTCGCGATGAATAATACCAGATATCCAGCAGTTGCAAAACAAGGAGAAATGATCCGAAACCATCCCGGAATCCATACTGGGCTTCAGAAGAAACCTCAGGTAGCATCTTCACGTGTCTGTTAATTTAGTAAGTTTCCTAGACTTCAAATAACCTGATTTATATCATTCCTTTTGCAGTGGAAGCAAAGAACATGTTGGATAATACGACGTGCAGGGATTCTTCATTTACCCAGTTTGTGAAGGCCCCTGCAAATCTGGTTGTGCGCGAGGCTGACTGCTTGGATGTTACTGGAGATGCTGGAGAACTAGAGTCTTACCTGGTATGTTAATGTCTTTTTGTGTTGAATTTCAGTATGTTTGCAGTTATTTTGATTTGTTCTGTTAATACTTGCAGCTAGCCACGTGTGATCTTTACCGAGATTTTATTCTGTTGGACGCATGTGATGCCGTAACAGTGGATGAGTTTCTGAATAATGAGAATATAGCTGGAAAGGTGCTGAACAATAGCTGCAGTGCAGAGGGCCTTTCTTTGGACTCCAAGTGCCACAAGAGCTTTTACTCTCCCACAAGACGTTTTGAGGGAACTGGCAATAAGTCTTCAGCTCAAAAGAATCAGGATGCTAATTTATATCAGTCTCCAGGGTTTCATGAGTTTGGTCCAGGCAATTTTAACAATGATCAGTTCGCATCTGATATGCCTGATTACATCGATGATGCACATAGATGTGAAGATGGATATTCAGAACCTAGAGACTCAGACGAATCGGATGATGAAGACCCATGGAATCCGTTGAACCCGCATGAACCTGGCACTTTGAAAGTAAAACCATACAAAAAAGGTTTCTTAAGCTTCCTTCCCTTTATTCTTTCTGTATGCTAGCAGTTTTATTATCTAATGTAGGTTTCATGCTTTCAAGCAGTTAAATTTAATAGAAGGCAGGGTGCGGTGTCCAAAAAAGGTGCATCTTTGGCTACAGAATTTCCAGTTGCAAGATTACATGGTACCACTAGCGCAGACCTCAACGACATTCTTGTGACAATAAAAGAATTATATATTGTTGGGGTGGAAAGTTGTGAATATATGAGTAAAATTAAAATAAGAATACATCATATCTAGTATAGTTTTTGGTGTTGCATCTTCTAGAATCTGACGGGTATCTTTCTGGCGTTTCTAGTTAAAATTTTCCTTTCTTCTTAAATCTGAAAGTCAGGTATTGTTAAATAGATGACTAGACCAAAAGTGCATACTTTTATCAAACTAAAAGGACCAACAGTGCTACAAAAATATTCAAAGGGACAATTTTATATTTACCTTAAACATAAGGGACCATTTTGGTCATCTCCTCCATTTGGTTTAAACATTGAATTGAGGACCTAATCAGATTTTGGCAAAAAGTCTGTAGATCATATTTGTGATTTACTCTGGAAAAGTTGCCGGACGAATGAGCTTTGATTTGATTGGATTGAAACTTCAGCCCATAAAAGAAAAATTGGACTGACGCATATATATATTACCGTGGGCTTATTTGGGCCTGTCTCAGTTGAGATCTCCTGAAGACTGTAAAAATAGCATGGGCTGCCAGTTTTCGGACTGGTGTAAGAAAAATAGCCAGTATTTGCAAAGTCATTGAAAAATAACCACTATTTTGCTATAACAAGGAAAGTTCCAGCATAATATACTGGAGATTGGTGCACCTGTGTATGAACTTCCAACATATTATGTTGAAACTCCATCACACAGAAAGTTTCAGCATATTATACTGGAGATTGGTGCACCTGTGTATGAACTTCCAACATATTATGTTGAAACTCCATCACACAGAAAGTTTCAGCATATTATACTGGAGATTGGAGCACATATGTATGAACTTCCAGCATATTATACAAGTTTAGTAAAAGTTGAACCTTACACTTAAATGTGATGAAATGTAATGAAATAGCTAGGGCCTATCGTTATCTTCACGCGAGTTTCAATAGTTAAATAATATTTCACTATTCCCAACAACAACAATTAAAA